CCGTCGTGTACTGGGGGTCGCGGTGGGCCCGGGCGTGCAGGCGGATGGCACGCTGCCTGACGGTCGTTGTTAGCCGCATCGGCCACGCCATGTGGCGCAGCAGAAATGCTCTCGGGATGGGCCCTTGGGCCGCCAGGGCCTGCCTTGCCCAGCGTTCTTGGATCCTGTTGAGCGTCGCCTCGAACCCGTCCACGTGCACGCACAGTTTGGCGCCGTATGGGGTTTTGCCAGGGTGCAGACGTTGAGGCCCGTCGTGACCTCCTCGAGGGAGAACCGCAGTTGCGGCATGATGTGGATATAGCAGCGCCCGGCATGCTGTGCCACGTCTCTTGCTCCTCCTGCTCCTGCTCCTGCAGCTCCTGCGGCTGCTCCTCCTCCTCCTCATCCTCCTCATCCTCCTCATTCCTCCTCCTCGTCGGCACCCGCGTCGCGGGCCACCAACTAGCTTCCCACTGTTGCCCGCCGTGCTGGATAATTTAGGGGTCGTGCTCCCTGGGCGACCCTGCAAGACAACATAATGTTGAGCATGCTTGTTGTAAGAGGATTGCAGCACATAGATCGACACATTCTTCGCTGGAGGCGTTGCTTACAATATCCGCGTTCATCTCGTTGTAACTGCAATACGATTATCATACATGCCGACACCTGTATAAACTACATGTACATCTTCCATCTACATATTCGTCGTGAGTGCCCGCGCTGCGGGCCACCAATTGATTTACCACTAACGTTCGCCTCGCTGGATACTGTTGGGAGGGGGGTCTGTTTCCCAGCGATTAATGCTCCCTGGGCGGCCCTGCGCGACAAAAACATGTTGAGCACGTTTGTAAGCGGATTGCAGCATAAGTCGATACATTCTTCGCCGAAGGCGTTGCTCGCTATCTCCTGCTTCATAAATCGTAGTAGTTAGGGAAATCGCTGTCGACTCTGTAATCATAGCCAAAGCCGTAGCCGTAGCCGTAGTCGTGTCGTGGTCGTAATCGCAATCGTTAGTGTTGTCGTCGTCGTCGTTGTTGTTCGGCGGGTGCCGCAGATAAATGTTTGTCTGTTGTTTGCGATCTCCCCGATGGCGCACTGCAGCTCACCGAGGTCAATAGTCCAGCGCTAGCGAGCCTGCAGGGCTGCCAGCACAGCCCGCTGCTCGGCAGGTGGGAGAGGAACGGCCTAACGGCCTCCCCGTCGCACAGTCTTTGGCTGGTGTACGGGTTCTCTCCCCTCAAGAGCTTGCCTCGACGACACTTGGCCTGCGCATTGGCAGGCTCTCCCTCGCAGGGCAGGCAGAGCTTCTTGGCCCGTCCGCTGGAGAAGACCCCGCAATTGCCACAGAACACAAATCCTCCAGCACGCATGAGCACATGCTGGCGGCTGGGTGGCCCATGCGAGGGTCTCGCGGGCAGCACAAACCGGGCCACCCTCGCATGCACGTTCCTGCAGGGCGTGCGAAAGAGCGCACGCATGCCTTGTGCGTCGTGCGTGAGAACCTACCGCACTGCTGACACCTCCAGGCCTTACAGTCCCAGGCCAGGGTGTGAGGGTGGGCCCCAGGGTGAGGACCCTCCCGAGCACGCCTTCGAAATCTCACCCCACTGCGCTCCTGAATCTGGCGGCCAGGGGTGCCCTTGAACGTGCCTACTTGCGTGGTCATGCACGCCACAAAATTACACATATTGGCTGAATCTCTGGAGCGCTGGTGCCAGACCTGCCTCAACCAATCGGGGAGGTCGTGCTGGGCCGCACCCTCCTTGGCCTGTTTGTCCGCCTGCGCATTTCCCAAGACATCGAGGCGGGCCTGGCCGACAAGGGTGTCGGGGTCGCGGCCCGAGTGGGCCTTCACCTTGACAACTTTGAGCGCGCCAGGTTCTTGGTACTCGTCCCGCACGAGCACCCAGATGCGTCGCCACAGATCGGCATGAGGGCGCCTGGGTTTCGTGCAGCAGGTCTCACCCCTCTGGAAGCCACGGTGCACAGTAGTGTTGTCAACAGCAACCTGAAGTGGGGCATTCCCGTGCTGCAGGACCTTTGGCAGGCCCATTAATTCAGCTCTCAGGACCGAGCCCAGGTGGCGAGGTCCCCCCAGGGTGCCACGACCAGCCTTGACGACACGACCGTCCCCGTCAAGAAACGCAAACCCCCATCCGAACGATTTGCACCCTTTGGGGCCGATCCCCGATCCATCGGAGTACGCGAACCCCGATGTGAGGGGATCGTGACCGAATTCAGGGTCTAGCCCCTCGTGATATTCCTGGACAAGCGAAAAAGGGTCATCGACAGGGTGGGCCGTGAGGCCTCGCGAAAAAGGCTTGACTCGCACGCACTTAACTCGCGCGCACTCTACCCGCACGCATTTGGCTTGCACGCAGCTGCGGTCGCACGACGCTGCACTCGCACGCACTGCGCTTGCAGGCTCTGAATCAACTCCCACACTGGGTGAGAGTTCACGTTCAGAGTACTTCCGTAGTGCGTGTTCGTAGAATATGTGGCCCTCCGTGGGGTGTCGTGTGTGTGTTTTGCCAGGTTTCCCAAGCGCTTCATGGCACCATTGGCAGCTCTGTCTGAGGCCCTACTCGCGGTGTGTTCATGCGCTTCCCGCATGCATGCTCGAAAACCCCACACGTGTCGCGACCCTATTTGGAGCACCAGCGGAGGTTCTATTGGCGGTGTTCTTGTGCATCTCCGTTGTTTCTGTTCGAGCCACGTCTCACTCGTGCCGCGGCCTAATCGGAAGTCCCCAGAAGGCGCAAGTGGGGATCGCATGTGTCCTGCCGATCATCTCCCCGCAGCCATCTTCCAGGGCGCCAGAAGGGTCTTCGCATGCGTGTCCGCGCCTGCGTTCGGGCCAACCCTGATGCGTTATGGAATACTTTGGGGAGCTCCACCGATGTCTTCAGTGGCGGTGCTCGCATGCGCCCTCCTCAGACATACTGGAACTCCCTCACACGTTTCCTGGTTTCTGGGTTGTTTCCACTGGCGGTGTTTGCATGCGCCCGCCCGACCCACTTGGGCACACCTCTCACACGCTTCGTGGCTCCAGAAGGACGTCTACGTGCGGGTTCCGTGGGGGCATTCGCATGCGTGGGTCCGCGCCCGTCTCGGATGCGGAGGAGGGGGAGGGGGAGGACTACGAGGCGGAGCAGGGAGGAGGAGGAGGGGGGGGGGGCAGGAGGAGGACGATGAGGGAAGGGAAGGAAGGAGGAGGATCAGGGAGGAGGGGCGAGAGAAAGGGGGAGGATGAGGAGGAGGAAGAGGAGGAGGTCTTGTAGGTCACCCTCGAGGTCGCGAATATCTTCGCGCTGCCGTTCATCGTCCGTCACCCCTGCTCCATCTCTCTCTCTCTCTCTCTCTCTCTCCTTCCCGACTCGCCCCGTGTTCTCCCCCTTCTCTTTTCGGTCTGCTTTCGCTTCCAGGGGTGGGCGCAATCCCAGGTGTCTCGGAGCTTCCATCGGCAAGTTTACAGGGCTACTATTTATGCTTTGCGTTTCCGCACACGCCCATCCAGAAACGATGCGTTTGAGACCTGACGGTGGGAGGGAAAAGCAGACATCCATTGTGAAGTAACCCCGGCAAACATGATGTATTCCAGAGATCGTTGGGGGAGGGAGTCGTTGGCGCTCCTGGTTCTGGGGCGGGTGTTTCTGGAGGTGGTGCTCCTGCTGGTGATGCTGGTGTTGTTTGTGGTGCTGCAGGTGCTGCAGTGCTGCTTCTTGTGCTGCTCGTGGTGGTGCTGATGGTGCTGCTGCTGTCGCTGCTGGTGCTGCCGCTGCTGCTGGTGCTGCTGGTGCTGCTGGTGCTGCTGCTGGTAGTGCTGCTCCTGGTGTTGCTGCTGGTGCTATTTCTGACGATGCTGCTGCTGGAGTTGTTGCTGCCCTTATTATGCTGCTGCTGCGGCGGCTGCTGCTGCTTGTGCTGTTGCAGCTGGTGATGCTGCTGCTGTTGCTCTGTTGGTACTGATGCTGGTGGTGGTGGTGCTGCTGCTGGGGTTCCACGTGCTGCTGGTGTTCGAGCTATTGGTTATGTTGCTGCTGCTGCTGCTGCTGCTGCTGCTGCTGCTGCTGCTGCTGCTAGTGCTGTTGTTCGTGCTGTTGCTGCTGGTGCTTCTGCTGGTCCTGCTGTTGCTGCTGCTGGTGCTGCTGTTGGTGGTGCTGGTGATGCTGATGCTACTGGTGCTACTGCTGGTGCTGCTGCTGGTGCTGCTGGTGCTGGTGTTGGTGCTGCTGGTGCTGTTGCAACTGATGTTGTTGCTGGTGCTGCTGGTTATGCTGCTACTGCTGGGGTTCCACGTGTTGCTGCTGGTGCTGGTTGGTGCTGGGTGATGCCGCTGGTGTTGTTGCTGATGATGCTGCTTCTTCGTGCGAGTTCAGGTTCGGGGCCATCTTCGTTCACGTTCACCTGCCCCAGCTGAACTGGCACGCGCTGCAGTCGCACGCTCTGCACTCGCACGCGGCTGCACTCGCACACACTTGCCTCGCACGGCTGAAATCGCACGCCGCACGTGCACTCGCACGCGCTGCACTCGCACTTGCTACACTCGTACGGACTTGACTCGCACGCCAGCGGCAGCGCCAGTGCGCGTTGGTTCGAGGCCGCGTGTGCGTGCGACTTCAGCACGTGCGACGTCAGCGCATGCGATTACAGCTCCCCGCGAGTTCAGCCAGCTCCTTGGGACTTCAGCTCCGTGCGAGCCCTGCTCCGTGAGAGTGCAGCTCCGTGCAAGTGCATCGCGTGCGAGTGCAGCTCCTTGCGAGTTAAGTGCCTGCGAGTTCAGCTTCGGGCGAGTACAGCCCTTGTCTGCGTGGTCGACTGGGCATGAGGTGGTTCCCAAGGGGCCACCTTCAGAGGATTGGAAAGGGGAACGAGGGGGTGGCAGAGGAGGAGCGGGCAGGACGACGCGGACAAGGACCAGGAGGAGGAGGAGGAGGATGAGGAGGAGGAGCAGGATGAGGACAAGCTCGAGGACAAAGAGGAGGGCGAGTAGGGGGGTACAGCAGGGGTGTGGGGGGTAGGACCTCCTGGAGAAGCTGCAGATCAACGAGTTCCTGTACGAGGCGCAGCAGGCGCCCTGCATCTTCCTCCTCCCCAGCGTGGCCGCTCCCCCACTGCCTTGCTGCTCGCCCAGGCGTGGCAGTGGAGGGAGAAACAGGATATGTTTGAATATGCGCCGTCAAGACGCCCAAGTAAGTAAGAACCACTTTGGGTTCGGGGGGTCCCGAGGCGGGGGCCAGAGGCCCCCCGGGGACGCCAGAGGATTTTGTCTTATTCGCGCGTGTCTTTTGCACCTCTGGATGCCTCCTCGGGGGGCCTCAGGCGGCTTCCACCAACAGAACCTCCGCGGGGGCCTCTGGGCGGGAGGGGGGGGGCAGTCAGAGGAGGGGGGGGGGCGGGCAGGTGATGGTTGGCAGGAACGCGCCGTCGTTTTCGGCCTCCTCGACGTCCTCCTCCTCCTCCTCCTCCTCCTTCTCTTCCTCTTCCTTCTCCTCCTCCTCCTCCTCCTCCTCCTCCTCCTCCTCCCCCATTTTCCTTTTGTGACTCGAACGGTATTTCGTCAGCACGTGTAGCATAGCAAAGAAGGAACGGTAGCAGGGTTTGGCCATGGGCGCTTGGCTCAAGGCTCGCCCAGCGCGCCCGCTATACAGTATAGATTGCACACCCCTCCGCGATACATTCCGTTTCACAGAAAACATACGTTCTCACATCCCGCTGCGATTTCTTCGTTGGTAGCGGACCACGTTGGTGCGTGATCCACAGCCGCCATGGCCCGCGAAACTCTGCTCCGCGCTGGTGGCGGTCGCTCTACATGCCGCTCCACACGGACGTGGTCTACACGTTTCTGTTGTACCTTCGCACTGTTCGTCCACTTCGCCGCGGCAGGCGACGCGCCTCGATGGGGCCGTCGGGGCATCCCCGGCCCAGCCGCCATGACCAGCGCAGGTGACCCACTCCGAGTAAGTTCCTTCAATAAGTACGCCAACAAAAAAAAGACTACGCGCCCCGCACATTGGCCTTCCTTCGAGGGCGCCCTCGAATTCTGTTCGAGATGCTCGGGGCCCGTCGACGTCCCAGCGGACTTGTGAGTGCCGCCGTCAGCGTCAGACCGTCGAGCGACGCGACTTCCACGCTCACGGTGACGGCGCAAGGGCCCGAGTTGTTCGCAATTGCGTCGCGGAGACCCGATGGGGGAAGAGAAAAAGGACGCATCGCCTCATTGCATCCGCATGTGGGTGTAGCCGGCTATGTCAAGCACCCGTTCCATCCGACGCTCACATCGCCGGCGTCGGCAAGGCGCCCCGAGGTTTCCGCAACTATGTTAAGGATGCTGGGGGAGGCGCGTGCAGGCGAGTGCGGGAATACAAAGCAGTGTCGGGCAACTATGTTGCCATCCTTCCGGGGGCCCGTTACACAAACATGGAACTACTCGTACTTGGTTCTCCGGGGCATGGCTCTCAACGCTGCCTACGCACCCCCCAGTTTCTTGGCAGACCTGGATCCGTATGCGTACTCCTCTGGATTATCGTGCAGTCGGCAGCGTGCAGCACAGTGACAATGCAACGCACGACGAAGTTCTCTCGCCACTATGTGGTGAGGTGCCCCGAGCGCGCAGTCCGCGCGTCAGTTGCAAGACAGAAGAGAATTCCCAATGCGCTTATGACGAGGAACACACCAGGGGCAAATACCCACGACTGCCTCGAAGATCACCACAATATCACCGCCGTTGGTGGTTACCAGGACTGTCACGCCTCCTCGGCGCCGGGGGGGGCTCCACGTTGGATAGGAGGCCATCGGAGTGGCATGGTCGCTGCCATCAGCAGCATCGCCTGCGTGGACGCGGGCGGCGGTGGCGGCGGCAACGCGCGACGCCTCCTCACCTGGGGGGCCCGAGCAGCAGGCTCGCGCGCCCTTCCAACGCTGGGTGCGGGAGGGGATATTCTGTCAGTGGCGAACTGAGACCTCAACGAGTTTCGCCAAGCGGCCTACGTCTCGCTTGACCAGCGCGGCTCGCGAGTGCGCGGGCGAATGGCAGCCGGCTGCCCTCGTCCGAGGCGGCCGCGGCAACGGCGGCCCAGCGCCGCCCACAACCTACCTCGCGCGCAGCTCGGCCGAACGGCGGGGCCAGCTTGGAGAGGGGGATCGCGCGCTGGCGGCATCGGCCTTGACAAACTTCAACCGAGTGCCGCAGGAGCGCATCGACAACGTCCTCACCAGGTTCGACATCCTCCGCGCCAGGGCGCATCAGGCCGGCCAACTCATCAACGGCCGCCGGGGCCTCAGCTACCTCTTGCTGCGCGCGGTCGGCGCGTCGAGCTCGCCACGACCCTGCAGCGCAATAACATGGCCTTCCCGACGGAAGCGCCGCAGCTGGCGCGCGCGATGGGCCAGCTAGTTACGCAGATGTTGGACACATGGTCGAAGGCTCGCCAGGCAATCTCGCCCCGGCCGCGCATTCGCCCCAACGCCGATCGTTCCTCGCGGGCGCGCCCACTCGCGACGAGGGCCAGCGCGCCCGCGGCGCTGGGGCCGGGTCGAGGTGGGACGGCGTGGGCCGCTCAGCCCTAAGAGCAGCACCGAGTCAAACCGACGCTTCAGCAGCACCGCGCGCGGCGCGCCCAGCAGCGGGTTTAGACCCTGGCACCGGCTCCGACGCGATCAGTTCATTCGGTGAAGAATTCGCTGCCGACGGCCGCGAACTGCGCGAAGTTCCCGTTGACCAGCGTGGCGCGCGCCTGCAATTTGGGCACGCGAGCGCGCCTGGCCCCGATGGCGCCGCTTCAATGGCCATAAGTTCCCACGCGCCGCGCTCGGAGGGCCATCGAACGCAAGGGCAAAGGCCATGGAACATTGCCGCCGCGCCTTCCTGGCCAATCTGCCCGACGACGACGTCCGCGAAACCTTCGCCGGTTTGGATGACCAGGGAAACCTGCGGGATGCCCGAATCTGTGGCTCTGGGGGCCAGCAACGGTGACCCCGCGCAGAGAGCCGATCCCTGGGGCGGCGGCCGGCCGACCCCAGCTTCGGCAGCTACGCGGCCTGCGCCCGCATTAACAGCAGCAGCGCCCAGCGCGTTGTCCGCCGACTCGGCAGGCAGCCGACCGGAGCCATTGGTCAAGCTGGGCGGGCATTTCATCGTCTTCGTCGGCTTCGCCCAACCCTCGCGAAGCCCCGCGGCGGCTGATCCGGGAGATGCGCCACTTCATGGGCCGCGTACATCAGGACTCTGCTGTGCCGACGGATAAGGCGACCACGTTGCCAGTCCGCGCGGCGGGGGCGGGGAACGCAGCAGCAGCAGCGCCCGCAGCTCCAGCCGCATCCGCCAGCGCTAACATCAGCACCGGCGCCCACGCCAGCACCCACTCGAGCGCCTACGCCACCGCTGAGGCCAGCATTCACGCCAGCACACGCGCCAGCGCCAGCGCTGGCGCCTGAGCCAGCGCCGACGCCAGCACCGACGCCAGCATCAACGCCTGCGACTGCGTCTGCAGTCACACCAGTGCCTGCACCGGCTTCGACGACAGCACCGACGCCAGCATTCACGCGGACGCCTGCGCCGGCACCAACGTCAGCGTTTGCAGTTTACACTACCACCGACGCCAGCACCTGCGCCGGCTACCATCGCCGGCGCCTGAGCCACCGCCGACGCCATCCCCGACGCTGCCATCGACGCATGCGATAAAGCCGGCACCAACGCCAGCGCCTACACCAGCGCCGACGCCGGCGGACCGCGAGTTCGGCGAGTGGACGAGCAGCAGCTCCGGGGCCTACACCAGCACCGGCGTCTACACCGATGCCAGCACCAGCGCCGGCGCCTAAGTCGGCATCAGTGTGACCTGCGCCAGCGCCGACGCCAGCGCCGACGCCAGCACCTGCGCCAGCAACGACGCCAGCGACGACGCCAGCACCGACGCTGTCATCAACGTCTGCGATTGCGCCGGCACCAACGCCAGCGCCCACACCAGCTCCGACGCCGGCACCGACGCCAGCAGCAACGCCTGCGTTTCCACTGGCACCTGCGCCAGCGCCTGCACCAGCACCGACGCCAGCACCGACGCCAGCACCAACGTCGGCGCCTACGCTCGCGCCGACGCCAGCACCGTCGCCGGAATCAACGCCTGCTCCTACGCTGGCGCCGTTGCCACCACCACCTACATGGGCTACAACGTGCTGCCCCAGACTAGTTAATGGCGCTCGCAGCTCTGGGGGCTTCGCGATGTCCCGGAATGCCCGCCTGGGCGTGTCAGGGTTTCCACCTTCGTCTTGTCGTAACGTTCGCCGCCTTTCGTCGAAGCGGTCGCCGTCTGGCGTAGGAGTTGTCATCGGAGCTGGAGTTGGACTCCGACCTTTGTCTTGCCATGAGGAGGGTTTTCAGGTGGTAACTATTTCTGCGGAATTCTGAGTTCTGTGGAGTAATTTCGACCTCCCAGGGCCTCCGTCGGCTTCAGCTGCATCCAAGTTTTGGATTGCATGAAGGACGACTTGCGCATATCATCGCTATATGGAGGAAAATGTTCGACCGCGCGTCCAGGGCAAGCCTGGGGGGGAAAATGGTGCCTCCGAGTTCCAGCCACGTTCGCAGGACTGGTGGCAAGGGGTCCGCGGTGCCAGAGCTTTGCATTCGACCCGTGGCCGAATAGAGTCGGAAGGACTGGGCGGGTCGTGCGCTCGTTTGGATGAACGGGGCGTCAGGGTACACAGAGATAAGCCTTCAACAGAGTCGCGCACCATGACGGCATCCTGCGCCTCGGTGTCGACTCCGGCCTCGTCTCTCCGACTCAGTCTCTCCGACTCCAGCTCCGACTCACATTCCGACCCAGGCTCCGACGCCGGCTCCGAGGTCAGCGCGACGACGCACGGCGCCCTCGACTCCGACATCCGCTCATACGCAATATGACGGTGACCAGCACGGCGACCGGCGACACGACGGGCTCTTGCAGCATGGCAGGGACCAGCACTACGATGCCCAGCAGCACAACAGGTGTCTACAATGCGCCGCCAGCGCCGACACCAGCCACGAGGGCTGGCAGATATTTGCAACGGAACGGGGCATTCCAGCTCTGGCTCGCCATCCGGTTGCAACTCCGGTCAAGGCGCCGTGCCCGACTCCGGCTGTGTCTCTCCAACCGCAGCTCCGACTCCAGCTCCGACGCCGGCTCCGACACTGGCTCCGAGAACAGCGCGACGGCCTGCAACGCGCTCGACTCGGGCATCCGCTCGTGCCCACTGTAACGGCTACCACAGAGACCACAAGTTTCAAGAATGGCTCCAGCACCAACGGTGCGACGACAGGGAGCAGCATGACTAGGACACTATGACGTCCAGCATATGCCATGTTCGACGAGTTCTGAGGGCCTCCCCCTGCTTCCTGTCGTCCCTTTTTTTGTGTCCCTCTCTCGCTCTCTCTCTCTTTCTTTTTTTTTTTGTTTTCTCTCTCTCTCTCTCTCGCTTGCACGTCTGGTGAATTGCGCGTTTTGCATGTCTTCGCTGCTCCGCTCCCTGCTCCCCGCCCCCCCCCCCCCTGGTGCTTCCATGGCCTCCGTTTGTTTTTAATGTTTTTGTTAGCCGTTGCCCCGCGCTTTTCCTACGTGCCCTCGCGCGCGCGCGGGCTAGGCCGCGCTGGCACGCCTGTCCGGGCAACGGCTGCTTGTGCGATCGCCTACCTGGCGGGGTAGCCGTTTCGCGTGGCCTCGGCCGTCGGCCTCTCATTTGTACGACAGATTCATGGCTACCAGTTTGCCTGGTAATTCTGCGCTGTCCTCCTTTATTATTTAGTTGTTGCGTCTTATCGCGGTCGCCGCCCGCGGCGGCGTGACCGCCCAGCGCAGCGTGCGTTCTCCTGCAGTGGAGGGCGACGGCTTCGATCTCACTGCCCTACTTAGCCTGCAATCCACGCAGTGCAACAGCGGGGTTTGCGGAGACAGGCGCAGCGCACAAACGCCTCGCGTTTCCTTGTCCTGGAGGCTACGAGATCACCGGGAGTCCAGGCACTATGCGCTCCGACTTCGAGTGGGCTCCAAGTGGGCATCCACGCGTACCAGTCGACAAGTTGGACTTGCTCTGGCCACCGACCGGGGGGCTTCCAGTTCAACAGTTCACGCTATAATCAGCAGCGGGCAGCGACTATCAGGACTGCGACTCCCGCGACGGTCAAGAGCTTAGGAAGTTCATTGCACAGCTTCGCAGCCCCGACGCACAAGCACCAGCGCGGGGCGCACCTCGGGCAGCAGGCTACGACCCATTCGCCTGCGCGGACGTCAGCATCGCGACCACGGTCGGTGGCTGGCGCCGAACCCGTGCCCCCACATATGGCTTGTTCCAGTCATCCCCGTCAGGCTAACTGGGCAACCTGTCTGGCCGCACATGAACGCATGAGAGGCGCCCCCCCCCCCCCCCCGCATGAGGAGCTTTAGACGAACTAGACCGTCGAACGGCGTGTAAACTGCAAGTCGAAATTGCTCGGCCGTCAGCGAACGACAACGCAGCGCACTGCCATGCGAACTGCGTGCTGCTGCAATGCGCGTCGGCGTTCGAACTTGGCGTTGCCTTGTGCTGGCGCGCGGTCGATGCCCGATGTCATCGTAGATGTTCGCGCGCTCGTGTCGGGGCAGAGACTTCGGGGCGCGTCGCGCCCGGGGCCCGCTTCGCGCGGGCGCGCGTCGAAAAGTTCGAATCCATTTCAAAAACGAAGTTTAGGCAACAGCCGAGACAAGTCTGTGCAAACTCATTACAAAATCGGGCGAAACTTCCCCGAAGCGGAAAGTCTCGCGCGGGAGGGCCCCGAAACTCGCGGGCAGACAGAAGGGCGGGTTTTGCAGGCGCAGAAATGGCTCATATTGGACCAGTTACAAGAGAAACGCACCCGATCTAAACTCTTCCGTCGGCGGGGCTACGAGAGGGCGACGAAGGCGGGGGCGGGGCTGGGCCAGCGGCGCTGCCGTGCGAGGGGCAGCGCCGCCGTCGCTTCTAATTGCATGCTGTGGCCGTGGCACGCGCGGCCTTGGGGGCGCCGGCGCGCGCGCGGCCGCGTCGAGCGGTCCCGGGGCGTCGCCGCGCGCGCTGGCCCTCCCTGCGGCGGCCGGTAATGGCTTTGCCTACAGGGCGTCTGCACATGCGCACATTCGCCCATAGTTATGGGGGCTGCGGTCGGATTCCCATCGTTCAGCACGCTCCCATTTTGCTTGTGTCTGGCTGGGGGTTCGGGTCGGGTCAGGGGGGGGCGGCGCATCGCGATGCCCCCGACGCCCCAGCTCGCCGCGCCGCGTCGGGGATTGGCTTCGCGATCGGGTTCCTCGTCGCACGAGTCGGATGGCTGAGGATCGGGCGGGGGCGCGGAACGAATTGAACGATGGGCGAAGAGGGGTCGGGGGGGGGGGCGAAGGGGGGCGCGGGAGGGAGCGGGCCCCGACGCTCTCTGATCTTTCTTTGGTCAAACGCGTCGTCTTTCTCGCGGCCCTTCGGATCCCGCGCGCGCGGGGCCATCCAGCGCGCCTGCATTGTCTGCTGCGGTTTTTTTGTTT